GGGAGGGGCAATAGGATCGCGCCGGGGGGGAGAAGGGGGGGAGGGCCGTGGCACGGGGGGGAGATCGGGGTCGAGGGAAGGGGGGTAGGGGGGGGGGGGGGGGGAATGTCGGGGGAAAGGGATTCTGTTTGGTGTCGGGGTAAGGGCGCGGAATGGGGACCGGGGGGGGGGGGGGGGAGTCGGGGGAGTCGGGGGAGTCGGGATCGGGGGATCGCGCAGGAAGCGCGCGGGAAATCGTGCAGGGATCATTGTCGGGAGGGCGGAGGGATTGCGAGGGAGGATTGCGCGGGAGGATCGAGCGGGGATCGCGAAGTTGTGGGAGGGTGGAAAATGGGACTGGGTAGGTAGTGGGGGGAAAAGAGGATTGGGGAGACAGGAGAAGAGGAGGAAAGAAGAGGAAGAGGAAGAAGGAGAAACAACGAGGAAGAAGAGGAAGAAGAAAAAGAAGAATAGTGAAAACAGTGGCCATAGACTGCTTCTCGTACATGCATCAACATATTTACATTTCTTCTCCGCATGTACAGTTCTAAGAAAAAAACGCGCAATTTCCCCGACGCGCTTCGGCCAGGCTGCGCTCCTGGCACTCCTCAGGGGCTTCTCCCCAGATCCGCCTTGCAACACCACCAGACTTTCCGACCAAGCAACTGAGAATAGAGGGCCGACGGCCTTGCCCTCCCGTTATACCATTCAACTAGCTACCGGCGTAGTCTCACACGCGTCGTCCTAATCTGCTGCGTCGTTCAGTTACGTATCGGCAACATTCGAATTTGAAACCGGCTTACAACTGACTATCCCGCCAAGAATAATGAGCGTAATAGTGCGGGCCCTAACAGACAGCAGATAACCAAGATTTCCGCGGAATAGGAAATCCAAGGGTACTACCGGACGCCTGTTTTCCTTCGAATTAATAGTACTACCTACCCAATAGCCTATGCTAAGCTATTAATTTCCGCACAGATAGGTACTATTTACTTCGGAAATACAACAGATTTCAGACCTTGCCCATGAGATCAGCAAAAACGGACAAATTTCCACGTATCTTTGTAACAAACTGGACGTGCGCTTTCAAATAAAAATTCTAAACGGGAAATATTTTCACAGTAATTAGAAATAAATAAATTACAAATTTACAGCGGAGAATTAAATCAGTCCCTACCCGACTAATCCACGGTCATGTTACCGCTCACCCGTTAGCACCAGGCGGGGTGTACTTCTCCACGCGGATGCCAAGCAGGGTTGTAAAAAAGAGGGTTGTAGAAAGGAGGACACACTACTTGAAATTAACACCTACATATCCCCATTTTCATGTCTAAATATCCCCAGTTCAATATCTACATAGTGTACAGTCGTCTATTACCCTTCCTTGCCTGCCAGCATACCATGCACTCAAGCATCGTCCGCCAAGGCTCTTTGAGTGCCATGGTGCCCTTAGCAAAACGTGCTAGGGCATTGAAGAAAAGCGTCGGGGGATGGGCCCGGCGCAAAAGTTCCTGCTTCATGGCTATCACAGGGAGGATGATCATGCTCCCGCAGTTCGCCATTTGCCGAATACGGTGAAGGCTGCCCGTGATGGCTCCGATCTTGGCCCGCTTATCCCAGTAGGAGCAGAAATCCTGAAAGCAGCGAAACGTGAGCTCTTCCTGTCGCTGAGTACACTCATTCTTGGCTTTCGGTTCTAGAATAAACCGAATTCTACCTTCCGTGATAATGATCCTAGCCCCGATAAAATCGATAGTATTTGACCCGTCGTTGGTGCGGACCTGTGAGAGTTTGCTACCATAGCAGTTTTTAAACTTCTCCATGATAAGCAAAGCTTTCTGCACTGATCCCTCCTTCCTACGGTTGAAAACAACAGCCAGGGACACATCATCCATGAACCAAACACCATGCACCAGCCTCCGGTCTCTTCCCAACGAAGCTAGGAACTCGACTTCGAACTTCGCACAAAGTATGCAAGTCAATGGCGGGCTAGAATTTTTCCCCATTGGCAGTCCAATCCTCTGTCCGAGGAGCTTCCCTTTGCACGAAGTATAAGTATTCCGCAGCTCGAAGGCCACAAATTGCAGTATCTGTCGAAACTTGATCTTCACATAGCCTTTGCCGAAGAGCTTCACTCCCATGGATACCAGTTTACCTCTTCTGCTGACAGTAATCTGATGATAGCCCTTCTCCTCCCATAGTTTCAGTAACCAGTGAACACCCTCCATAACAGCGGCATGCGGTAATGATGTGAACATTTCTTTAATGTCAAATCCGCATGCAGTGATCATTGTGTGCTCACCGTACAACTGCAGCTTTTTCTCTGCAAGTAGAAGGTTTTCCTTCAGGCGCGCTGTGGCCGTAAGATTGAAGTGCGTGACTCCGGGACCTTGGCTAGCAAGTAGTTCAGGGCCTTTGCTGTCCAACGGCTACCTGTTGTCGAAGGTTCATTGCAGGCTGGTGCAATTGGTCGAAACCTTGTGAGATCCTTGTGCTTGGGAATGTAGCGGACCTCTGGTTGGCCTGTGAGACCGGCCCCTTGGCCTGTTCTCACGGGCCTGTGTTTTATTCGGGGCAGTCCAGTCCAGGCCGGTACCTCTGTCGGTACCAGCCAGTCCAGTCCAGTCCCGTCAGTCCACTGGGGTATACCCCAGCCATTGTCTGTTTTCGAGATCATTCTACATCCGCACAGTTTGGAGTACGTGCGCCGGAGTCTTGCGTGGGAGCTGCACTGTGCAGTCTCGCTCCTCCCTCATCCTCCATCTCCGTCATCATCCCTAGCGGAGCACCACACCCGGTGGGTCCGCTACATTGGTATCGGAGCGGGAACGTTCCCCGCTCCCACCCACCACCCCACACAACTGGGAATACAGGCAGCACCCTGTACAGTTGGGAAAACCACAAGGCCGGCGCACGCGCGCACGCGCTACGCTTCCCCGCTGCCCCGCCCCGCCCCGCTCCCGGATTTGCATTATCAAGATCCGGTATTTTTGCTGCTGCTGCGCGGGCCATGCGCGTGCGTAAGCACCTTGATAACACACTCGCCACAGAGTGTACATGGCCCTATAGTACGGCACACTCGTGTTGAAGAGGTGTCGTGCTGGCTATTGTAGCGGACCTCTGGTTGGCCTGTGAGACCACCCCCTTGGCCTGTTCTCACAGGCCTGTGTTTTATTCGGGCCAGTCCAGTCCAGGCCGGTACCTTTGTCGGTACCAGCCAGTCCAGTCCATTTCCGTCAGTCCGCTGGGGTATACCCCAGCCATTGTTTGTTTTCGAGATCATTCTACATCCGCACAGTTTGGAGTACGTGCGCCGGAGTCTTGCGTGGGAGTTGCCCTGTGCAGTCTCGCTCCTCCCTCATCCTCCATCTCTGTCATCATCTCTAGCGGAGCACTACGCCCGATGGGTCCGTTACATTGGTATCGGAGTGGTAACGTTCCCCGCTCCCACCCACCACCCCGCACAACTGGGAATACAGCCAACACCCTGTACAGCTGGGAAAACCGCAAGGCCGGCGCACGCGCGAGCTTGCCACGCTTCCCCGCTGCCCCGCCCCGCCCAGCTCCCGGATTTACATTATCAAGATCCGGGAATTTTGCTGCTGCTGCGCAGGCCATGCGCGTGCGTAAGCACCTTGATAACACACTCGCCACAGAGTGTACATGGCCCTGTAGTACGGCACACTCGTGTTGAAGAGGTGCCGTGCTCCGGTGGCGATCAGCAGAGCAGCAACGGGCGGGCTGTTATTTGCCCCTTCCCGCCCCCCCCCCCCCCCCCCCCCCCCCCGCGTGGCTGTTGCTGCCTGTGCACGTGGCAGCTCACTGTGGAACTGAAGACCCCCCTGCTTAGGGGGCTGCTCTACAGTGGTGAGGCCTGCTCACACAGCAGACCCTAGATCTGCAGAACTGTTGCTGCTGGGGGCTGATCAAGATCTCAACCCCCCTCTCTCCTCCAACTGGCTGCTGCTGCGAAGGCCAAGACCCTCATGGTCTTGGTATACCTTGTGCCCTTGGAGACACCAAGGGCCAGGTATCTCTTCTCTCTCTCCCCCCCCTCTACTAACCCACCCTCCATATCTCTCTCTCTCTCTCCTCTTACTCATACCCCTCTCCCCACCCCACCTTTTCTCCCACCACCCATTCTTTTACTCTCTTTTCTTTATTTATTTTCTTTTCTTTCCTCCTCCTTTTCTCTTTGCTTCTTGATCCCTCTCCACCATTCCCCATCCCTCTCTCTATCATTCTCTCACCCTCCTCTCCCCCAACTACCACCACACCACCCCCCTACCTCCCACTTCATCTTTTTCTCCCTCCCACTTATTTCTTTCTTTTCTCCTTCACTTTTTCATTCCCCTTTCCCCCTACTTCGAATTTTTTCTGTTTTTCTTCTTTCTCTCTCTTTTTTTATTTATCTTTTCTCTTTTTTCCTAAAATTCGAATTATCTCCCTCCCCACCTTCTTTTCTCATTTTCTGATTTATTTCTTTTTTTTTTTCATTTATTCTCGAATTCAATTTTCTTTACGACAACCCTAAATCTGACTAGGTGTTAGTCCTTCTTGCTTTCGGCACACGTTTTGACCCCGTGGGGGTAATGAAGTGCTGCCGAAATTTTCTGATTTTCTCTTACTTAGTCTTTTTCGGCACACTTCGACCCCATGGGGGTAACGAAATGCTGCCAAAATTTTTGAAAAATCAGATACCCCATCTCTCTCCACCTCCTCACCCACTTATTTACCTATTTATTTATTTATCTATTTATTTATTATTTCTTTATTTATTTTCTGAAAAATTTTATTTGCGGCAGTTTGAAACCCAGTGTGCTTATCTAGATCTCTCCTTTCCCTTTGGCACATTCTTGACCCCATGGGGGGTAGGGACATGCTGCCGAAAATTTCAAAAAAATAAATTTTATTTTTCTTTTCACATTTTGTTTACTTCTTCTCTTAATTATTTTTATTATTTAATTTCTTTTGTTTTTCTCTTGAAATCTCGCTGCTTATTTATTTTTCTCTCACCTTCGCCCCCCATGCTTGCTATTTTATTTTCTTGATTAGGTCACCGGTACCCCACCCTAACCACTTAAACTTCGGTTAGGGTTTTCTTAGGGTTTTTCTAGGGTTTAGGGTTCTTCAAAACCTCCCTACTTACCCTTCCTCTTCGGGCACCCTGGACCCGAACCACCCCTCCCCCCTTGACGGCGCTCGCGCTAGCCTTGCTAGCGCCGTCTGCCGCTTTCTACCGCGGACCCCCCCCTACACCCTCTGCTCACGCGGACCTCTCCTGGCCCCCTCCAGTCCGGCCCGTCACCTCCCCATGGCCGATGGTGTGTCACACGCCGCTGACGCGGTGACGAGCACGTCACAGGGCTCCACACCCGTGCCGACGGACCAGGGCCACCAGCCCCAGGGGGATCTGCACACCCTCATCACCTCCCTCCTCGCACCCATCCAGGCACAACTCGCGATCCTCGCGCCCTTACAGGCGCAGGTGGCAACCCTTGTCGCCGACATGCAGCAACTCCAGGACGCTGCCTACCCTTCATCTCCTGGCTCCCAGTCCGGGTCCCCTGTCCTCCGACAGGGTGGCTACGACGGAGCTTCCTCCTCCGCTGCCCCCGACCCGGCCATCTTGGTGATTGTCCACGCCCCTTCCACGACGGCCGCCACGAGCCAGGCCCTCCCTCAGTCTACGGGCGCACCCTCCCAAATTCCGGTCACTACGACCACGGTACCACGACCCGCTACCATGGTCGCAACTTTTCCGGGTGCCCCGCTTCTCCCTTCCCTTCACACGACCGCAGCGCCACCTGGCTCTCCCCCCTCTGGGATGCCCCATGCCGCTTGTGCGTCCACTTCCTCCACTCTTCCTCCTGCCACTCCTCGCTCGATCCACGTCCAACGTCTCGAGGACGAGTTTGCCCAGATCTGGGCCGACCTCGCCCTCTTACGCCTTCAGCCACCCCCACCCTCACAGGTGGTCGCGCCTTCGAGCGCACCCTCTACCTCCTCTACCCTTCCTCCCATGCAGGCTCGCTTCCCACGCCCTGCACCCTATCCAGCCCCATCCTACCTTCTTCCTACTCCCGCGGTTGCTGCGACCTCTTCTACCACAGCTCCCTCGCAGCCTGCCCTAGTTGCCCCCGCCGCTCCCCCATGCAGCCCGGGTGCACAGTCAGCTGCGCCCCTTTCTCCAGGACCTGCGCCGACTTACTTAGTCGTGGCACATGCCTCTGCTCCTCGATCCCTTCGCCGCTAAAACAGTGGCGCACCACTCATCCACTTGTCGGACATTGCCCTGTATGACGGTACAGGCATACGCGTGTCTCGGTGGCTGCAGTCTGCCACCCGCACGCTCCAGCTCATGGACGCCACACCCGACACGTGGGTGGGTCACCTCTCCACGCGCCTGCGTGGCGGTCCTTTCAACGCCTGGGAGGATTTCTACGCTTACTCCCTTCGTGAGGGTCGGACTCCGACCTTCATGGATTTTCAGGCATTCCTCGAGGATCGTTTCGGAGCCTGATACGATGTGACTGATGCCTTCGAGCGTGTCGTCACTGCACGCTGGTCCGGCTCTGGTGGCGCTGCTGCTCTGGATCGCCACACCCAGGTCTTTCAGGACGCTCGCCTCACTTGTGACGTGGCGTTCCTCCCCGAGGCTGCCCTTATCGATCGTTTCTTGGCCAGCCTTCCACTCGAGTACCTCTCCGAGCTATGGCGGTACGAGTTCACATCGGCCCCGCAAGCTTACGAGGCCGTCAGGGACCATCAACGGATGTGAGCCCGTCTTCACCCCGCCTCCTCCTCCCAGCCTCAGCGCACGGGCTACGCCTCCTCCTCCTCTCACGACACTTCCCAGCGTCGTTCCCCTTTCCGCGGTCGCCCCCGCCGTTCCGCGCAGCAGGGCCGCCACTTCTCGCGCCGCTTCAGCGCGCTCGAGTATGGTGAGCAGGACGCTGGTACCTCGTTGTCGCCAGAGGGTGACCATAATGACGACCTCGATCTCGGCGAGGCCGTCCACCACCACCTGGAGGACTCTACTCTTCCTATGGCCGAGCGCCTCCAGCTCATCCTCTCCACCCTTTCCCGGGCACGCAGTCGCCCTGGTCATGCTGCGCATGGCCCCCCGAGGTCCCTTAGCAAGACCTCCCTAAGGGCTTTGTCCCTCCTCGGGGTGTTCTTTCCGTTGAGGAGCGCGCGGCTATTTTGGGCCGGCGTGGCTGTTTGCGCTGCCACTTGGACGGTCATACCTCCTCGCGGTGCCCTTACACTATCGCCCTCGACCGTCACTACATTGACCTTTCCCGCCAGCTTCGTGCTCAGTCCCTCCCCGACGCCTCTCATTTCCGCGACGACTCCTAGCCACGATGCAGTGTACACCTGCGCCCTCCTCAGTAGTGGGCTTCCCGACATCTCCGTCGCGGTTCGCCCCTCTCGCTACTGGAGCTGAGGTATCGCAGGACTCGACAGAGTGTACTCAGTCCTCTGTCGCAGTACCGTCTGCGCCTCCGCAGACCACCGTCTCCCCTCCTTCCCAGCCGCGACTACCGACGCATCGAGCCATTCGCTCAGCCCGTTGCAGTGAGCAGCTCGCTACTCGTGAGGACGTTGTGTCCTCTCTTCTGGACTTGAGCATGGTCCAGGCTCGTCAGGAGTGACTCACCCTCCATGTCGGTGCCCTGCGTCGCCTTCTCACCATCCTCTCTGACCCTAATCGCACCCTCCCGATCATCCTAGTACGACTGAGGACCTCCACGAGGGTGTACTCAGCACTGTGGGATTCCGGTTCTCAGGGCGACTTCATTCACCCCCGTGTGGTGAAAGAAGCCCGCTTACCCACGACAGGGTCTCCGACTCCCATCTCCATCACCCTAGGGGATGACAAGGCCCAGCGCTTCTTCGATCAGGCGTCTCATCGCCACCGCTTCTCTGCACATTTCGATGTGATGGAGACGGGGTACGACTTCATTCTCGGCACTCCGTGGTCTCGTCGGTTCCGCAGCACCGAGGCCGATTGGGCGACCAACACTCTCGTTCTCAAAACGAAGTGTGGACAAACGTATCACGTACCTTTCATAGGTACCACTGCGACACCACGCCCCGATCCTCCTCCCCCGGAGCCCTCCGTGCCCATACCATCTCCTTCTATCACCGTCACCTCGCCTCGGCAGTTCGCCCACTTCATCCGACAGGACGACGTCACCTTGTTTATGGTGAACGTGATGGATCTCTTACACTATGATCCACCCTGTCCCGACGTCGAACTCATCCCTCTGGAGCCAGATCTCCTTCTATCTCCATGACTCCCATCTCTACTTCCGTCCCTCCGCCATCCGTCGAGTCCACCACGCCGTCGCCAGCTGACGCTGACGCTGAGGAACTCGCACGATATACTGCTGACCTGGAGCCCGCAGTTCGTGACCTCATTCGAGAGTACCACGACGTTTTCCCATCGTCGTTCTCGTATGCAGGCATCCCACCGATGCGCGACGTAGAGCACTCCATCCAGCTTGTGCCTGACTATCGTGTTCACCACCAGGCACCCTACAGACTCTCGATCCCCGAGGCCACCGAACTCAAGCGTCAGCTTGAGGAGCTCCTGAGACTGGGTTTCATTAAACCCAGCAACTCCCCGTGGGGTGCACCCGTCCTCTTTGCTTTCAAAGCGGATGGAACTCTCCGTCTCTGCATCGACTATCGCGGTCTCAACCTCTACACGGTTAAGAACAGCTACCCCATGCCTCGTTCCGACGAGTTGTTCGACCACCTAGCAAGCAACCGCTTCTTTACGAAGATTGATCTTCGTAGCGGTTACCATCAGATCCGCATCGCTGCAGCCGACCAGCCGAAGACAAAGTTCCGATCGCGCTTCGGCCACTACGAGTTCACGGTGATGCCATTCGGCCTCACCAACGTACCCGCTACCTTCCAGAGGGCGATGAATAACATCTTCAGGGACATCCTGGAGCAGTACGTTCTCGTCTACCTCGACGATATCCTGGTCTACAGTTGTACCTTTGAGGAGCATCTTAGACACCTCTGCGACGTCCTTGACCGCTTGCGCAGACATGGCTTCTATGCCAAGCTGAGCAAGTGCCGCTTTGCCCAGCACAAAGTGGATTTCTTTGGATACTACGTGTCTGACCAGGGTCTCCACATGGACAACGCGAAGATCACTGCTATTGCGGAGTGACCCGCTCCCACATCCGCCAAGCAGCTTCGCAGCTTCCTACGCCTGACCAGCTACTATAGTAATTTCATCCGGGGATACGCTAGGTATTCCTACGTTTTACCTCCACCCTCCTCCGGAAGAACCCACCCTGGGCTTGGACACCCTTCCACGAGGACACCTTCCGCGCCCTCAAGAAGGCGGTGATATGCGCACCGGTTCTTCACCTACTCGATTTTGACCGCCCTTTTATCCTTACCACCGATGCGTCAGACTTTGTTGTAGGAGCAGTGCTTTCTCAGGTCTTCCCCTCCTCTCCTGATTCCTCTCATCCTCGTATCCCTCGCTTCCCACCACCTACCCCTACCACTGCTTCCCGACTGACGCCTACTCGTCCAGCTACTGACGAGCCTTCTCTTGACTATTCTCCTCCCATCGCCGAGGACGGCATTGTCCAGTCTCGCTCAGGTGATTGTCCGATAGCCTTCTACTCCCGCCAGCTTCTGCCCGCCGAGATAAACTACACTGCTGATGAATGTGAGGTTCTCGCAGTAGTTTATGCCGGTCGGCACTGACGTCACTACCTACATAGGGCACAATTCACGGTGCGCACGGACAACTCTGTTGTCCAGGCTTTTCTGACAAAACCGAAGCTCACTCCTCGATAGGCTCGTTGGTGGCACGACCTATCCGAGTTTAGTTTCACCACTGAGCACATCAAGGGTGAGACTAATCGGGTCGCAGATGCCTTATCCCGGCGCCCTGACCACGACCAGGAGCAAATCCAGCTCTCTTCCATCTCGGTCACCACCGTCCACCACTCGGTGATCGACAAGTTTCGCACTCAGTACCGCCACTGCCTCGACTATCGCGACATCCACGCGACCCTTCGGAGTGGCAAGACCGTCCCGGACTACTCTCTCGGGGACAATGGTCTTGTGTACTGGCATGGTTCACAGGACACTAGAGAGCCCCGTATTTGCGTTCCCTCCACTGGACAGCTACGTGTCCGAGTAGTAGCAGAGTTCCATGACCAGGCAACTGCCGGTGATATGGGCTTCCACAAGACGTTGGCTCGTGTGAGCCGCCTGTACGTCTGGCCGAAGCGCAAGGACTTTGTGAAGGACTACGTCGCAGAGTGTCCCACCTGTCAGGAGGTGAACAGTGCGAACCACCAGCCTTATGGTTTGCTCCAACCTCTTCCTATCCCTGAGGGTCGTTGGCAGTCCATCTCGATTGACTTTATCTGTCCTCTTCGTCCTCCGACCCCCCGCGGTCATGATGCTATCCTGGTCATCGTCGACCGCTTCACGAAGTGCGCACTCTTTGTTCCGTGCCGCTATGCCATCAGTGCACGTGAGGTCGCCGACATCGTGTTTGACCGATTCGTGCGTGACCACGGCTTACCTCTGAGCATCATATCTGACCGTGACCCGCGCGTTACGAGCCGATTCTGGCGACGTCTCCACGAGGTTTACGGCACCCAGCTCCGCTTCTCCTCGTCTTACCATCCCCTGACTGATGGTCAGACCGAGGTCACGAATAGGACTCTCGGAGACATTCTTCGAAAGATTGCTCGTGACGACCAGCAATGGGATCTCCATCTTGCCCACGCGGAGATAGCCTACAACCACGCCGTCTCGCCAGCCAYGGGGATGTCGCCTTACTATTGTGACCTCGGCTATCACCCTCGTGTTCCCACGAACTTCCTTCGACCGTCACAGATGCACCCCGACACGAGTTGTCCCGCGCTGGATGATTGGGTTGCACACATGACGTTGATCATGAAGACCGCACATGAGCACATAGCCGCTTCCCAGACTCGCATGGCAGCACTTGCGAACCGATCGAGGATGGATCATCCATTCAAAGTCGGTGATGATGTGCTTATCGACGCCCGCCACTTACAGCTCGAAGCGGACACGCTTCGCAAGTTTCGACGTCGCTTCTTTGGCCCATGCCGCATCCTCTAGGCCGTCGGTTCTGATACGACATCTAGCCCGGTCAGCTTCCGTGTGAAGCTGCCCCACTACCTACGTCAGGCTCGTGTGCACGATGTCTTCCACGTCTCATTACTGCGTCCTTACCGCAGACCGTCTGAGCGTTTCACTGAACGACCATACAAGCGCCCCCCACCCATCATGGTGGACGGTCACGAGGAGTTCCTCGTTTCAGACATCATTGGTCGCCGAGTCACCGACGACAACCCTCCCCATGTCAAGTATCTCATACGTTGGAAGGGTTACCCTGATGAGGAGGTTACCTGGGAGCCCCTCGAGCACTTGCAGCACGCTCGCATGTTGGTGCGTGCCTATGACCGTGCTCATCGTGCTGGGTTCACTGCTCCTCCTCAGCCCACTGACCCTCCTCCTTCTCCCCCGGCTGAGGAGACCGCTGAAGTCGAGCCTGCTCCATCTGAGGCAGACCTTCAGCAGCAGCCAGATGCTTCTGAGCGTCCACAACGCACTCGTCGTCGTCCTGCTCGATACGACGATTGACTCTGACTTACCTTCCCACGTCTTTGACTTCTCAATACTCCATCCACTCCAGCCTTGCTACCTCAGCTCGTCGACGTTGCGGCTCTTCCTCGACGACATTCCGGACTTCTCATCGTGGACGTCATCGGCAGCTTCATGGACTTCGTCACGATCAGCTCTACCTACTTCAGACGTCATCACTCTCTTACCACTTTACTCTGTACAGTACCCTTGTTGTCGCATGATGGTCTCCCTTTAGCTGGGTTCCTCCGAGTTGGGCTCTCCCATGGTATACGCATAGGCATCGGGACCGTAGCGTTGCCCTGGCTTCCCATCTCACGAATCTAGCTCCGACTTCCCTCACTTTAGGAGTCATTTGCATGATTCCCTTACCCATCACCTTTCTACCCTCTGTCGGCCCTCACGCCCTAGTTAGGCAGCCCCGCATGCTTCATCTAGGTGCGCCCAGTATACCAGGCTCCCTTGTTCCCTTGCATGGTCGACCCTCCATAGCGGTCAACCATTTAGTCGAGCATTACCCGCCCTAATGGTCTATCTGTTAGGGTCATTGGTTTTGTTCGCTCCCAGTTCCCTACCCTCATTGAGCCTGATGACATGTGTTCCCTCTGTCACTATGTGTGGATGCCCTTAGGAGTTTTCGCCCCCTAGGCTGCATTCGCCACCCTCAGAGACCATCCCACCCTTTGGTTTGCGACACACTTCTCATGTGACATATGGTTGACTTGTTGTTGCTTGTTACTCTCAGACTGAGGCTACTGCCTCTGAAATTTATAGGATTTAGCTGTTCTGTTTTTGTTGTTCTTAGGACTTATACACTAGTCAACTGTTCCCAGACTGAGGTTGCTGCCTCCAACATTCTAGGATCTAGTTGTCACTACTTTCTGCTTTCCTAGGACATGTATGTTAGTTAGTTGCTTCTGCTTTCCTAGGACATGTATGCTAGTTAGTTGCGTCTGCTTTTACTTAGGCTGTTAGCTGGGACATTGTTGTTTTGTGACATTTTATATCCTAGGTTGCATCGCATGGACTCAGCATGGAGCTCGCTCTGCATCCTAGACTACTCAGGTTTTTTTTTTCTTTGGTAGAGTTCCGCTTCTTGGCGGAAGCGTGCTTGTATCTAGGCGATCCATCACAGGTCGAGGATCATGTAGCGGACCTCTAGTTGGCCTGTGAGACCAGCCCCTTGGCCTGTTCTCACAGGCCTGTGTTTTATTCAGGGCAGTCCAGTCCAGGCCGGTACCTCTGTCGGTACCAGCCAGTCCAGTCCAGTCCCGTCAGTCCACTGGGGTATACCCCAGCCATTGTCTGTTTTCGAGATCATTCTACATCCGCACAGTTTGGAGTACGTGCGCCAGAGTCTTGCGTGGGAGCTGCGCTGTGCAGTCTCGCTCCTCCCTCATCCTCCATCTCCGTCATCATCCCTAGCGGAGCACCACGCCTGGAGGGTTCGCTACAGGGAAGGACAAAAGTTTTCCCAATAGCTCCTTTGCAGTTCCACGCGGCGAGCTGGTCCAGTCCATGATTCTTGTAATATGCCTTCATCGTCTGCAGTATCTCCGCTTCATTGTTGCTTACCGTAAGGTAAGCAACATTCCACATAAACATCATGTCGAACCTCCTTCCATAGAGTAAGGGGCACATGACTACCATGTCTCCAACATTTCTGTCTATAGGGGTGATAGCCAATCCTTGCAACTTCCGCTTCACGGGAAGCACAAGTGATTCATCGCCCCTTCCTTCTTCATTGCAACCAATAGTAAAGCACTTATCCAAATGTAAGTCTTCGAGGTGCTTTCTAACTCTGCTACCAAGGACAACTGTCAACCCTTGCCTCATGCCCGTGCTAAGCTCCTCCAGTGATGTCTCAAGCCTCGGGCGTACTATGTTCTTCCCGTTAAGAGCCAGTTGAGGGACTGCTTCCACCTCTCCGATTCTGGCCAGGATATGTCCGTCGGTACGAGGGAGTGCATACTCGGAGCAGGTACAACTGAGCGTTGTACTTCTACTAAGGATACGATGGTTGCACTGAATCTCGGATACGCTTCGATTCCGACGCCTGACAAATTGCAGCTTTCTGCTAAGTAATCCAGCAATAGCGGGGTGTAGCTCACAACTGCCAATCTTGCTCAGGAGCACGTTCTTCACCTCCCGCTTACAAACTTTCTTCCTAAATTGTACTTTAACAGTAATCTTCCTCTTGACGTTCACTCCGGCCTTCTTCGCTACTGCATTAGCTATGAAATCTTTCACCGCTTTCCTTGTATTCTTCCCACTAAAGGTACCAACACTGTTGTACAAGTGCATAAGCCTCTCTATCAACATGGACGACAACTCCTTGCGTTTGTATGGCATTTCTAATAATTGTCGTAAGTACCCTTTCCCCTTCTGTCTCGCATTTTGAGTCAGTAGACTCAATACTATTGGCGACACCCAAAGGTACCCACCAATTTCGAACTTCTGTTTCGCATGAGCAAGAGCAATCTTCCCATCCGTTGCGACTACCATTGACGCTCCGTAAAGTCTTTTAACCAACGCAAGTCTTTTCCCCATACATTACCTCCTTCACAGTACAGATGAACTTGTTTCCTACCTTCCTTATGTGCCGCCTCTAGAACAGTTTTCAAGTTTGAAGTCCTCTCATTACCATGTTGTGGGTGGAAGAAAATAATTCTCGGCGGCTTCCTCTGCGCATCTAACATCCTCTCCGCACTTTGCACTTTCCCTCTAGACTTACGCTCCTTTTTACCCACTCTCTTCTTATTGTTCATAGTCTTACTTTTCCCACTCCTATTGAGGGAAGGCGAGAAACACTTTATAAGCGTCTCGAGTTCCGCCAGACCTTCGATATCTGTCGCAGCAATGGGAATGGCGACATACTTTCCCCAGCCATATCTACCCAACCAGTTATAGAGTAATGGCGCCTTCCCTCCATTCTTGTTCTCACCACAACTAACGTGCTCCCACCACCGTTCGACAACACCCCTAACTGTCTTGCCAATGTAAGACTTTTTACACCAAGGAGATACTAGACAATATACAACAGGTTGTTTTAAGTTAAACCAGTCCCTACTGTATGGGACTAAGTCTATCAACTTCTTCGCCCAAGATATTTGCCCACAGAGCGTGAGCAGTACCGTTCCTGCCCGAAGAGCTCGCTCAATAAATAATCTAAGTCTGGAGACTCCTGTATGCCCCCAGATAGCACCTCTAAGCCTGAGGAGGCTTGCGATGGTAGCCCAAGTTCGCCTATCCTGGGGCGGACGCCATCATAATGAACGCTCCCCTTTTGGTTGATCATCTTCAGTATGATATCCTTCGGGGCTTTCGTCAATGTCGACGCCCGATAACACCATACGGTTAACAAGCTCCCGAACCGCTTGCTCTTTCAAAACGTACGTGACGTCTCGCTCTTCACAAATCTTCTTAATCTCCCGGAAATCTTTCTTCAATAATCGGTCACGAGTTCCCAATATCTCTTGCATGATACCACCCTTGTTGTTGGACCCAACTGCACCACGAGCGGTGCAGCTAACAGGTTGCGGAGTAGAAACCTTTCCTCTTTGATTGGCTTCGTACTCATCTCTCGTCTGCTCTCTCATTTCTTCTTCAAACTCGCCAACTTCGCCAAACCTAGGGGCTGATCTCTTTCCTCTGGTTCTTCTTAGTGGAATCTTCTTGCCTTCATCCGTCGGTGTCCCTTCCTCCGTGAGATAAGATTCTAAACTAGCATTCATCCAGCTTATGTCCCTCTTCGGTGTCTTAGCGTTCATCGCGAATGTCATCTTCACCTCCGTACGAAACTCATCCTTGAACGCCCTCAAGTCCCTTGCCACGGAAGCAATAGTTCTCAGTCCCGCTTCCTCCGCCAATTGTTCCACTCTCTCCGTTTCTTGAAAGCATCTCCTTTCCGTATCTGCAATCATTCGTCTCAACTGTTCTTCCCTCTGTTCTTGTTCCAAACGTGCCTTCCTCTGTTCCGCATCTAATTTCCGCTTGTCCTCTTCCACTTTCTTCCTTTCTTTCTTCTCTTGTGCCTTCTTGATTTGTAAGTCTGTCAATTCCTTAATTCTTCGGAAATCCTTGTCCTTTTGTTGCCTGGACTGCCAGTACCCTGCATTGTTGCTAAACGTACCTTGTCCTCTGCCCACTGGACAATCACGAGCAATGTGCCCTGCTTGTCCACAGTTAAAGCAAATCACAGGGGAGTTCCCATTCGATGCACGGACACTAGCCATGACTCTTACCTTGCTCACGTATTCTCTTATCTACCTTTTAAAGCTAATTTGTAACTTCGTACTCGATTAGCGATACTAATAACGACTCTATTGGAATCAGTTACGAACCCTATTAGTAGATCAGCTACGAAAACAGCGCCTTGTCGACATAGCCACCAGTGTGAGTGCACTTCTCATCCGGTTACTATGCATCACTGAATAGTGAAAACAGTGACCATAGACTGCTTCTCGTAATCGCATCAACAAATTTACATTTCTTCTCCGCATGTACAGTTCTCAGAAAAAAAAACGCACAATTTCCCCGACGCGTTTCGGCCAGGCTGCGTTCCTAGCACTCCTCAGGGGGCTTCTCCCCAGATCCGCCTTCCGACACCAGCAGACTTTCCGACCAAGCAACTGAGAATAGAGGGCCGACAGCCTTGCCCTCTCGTTATACCATTCAACTAGCTACCGGCGTAGTCTCACACGTGTCGTCCTAATCCGCTGCGTCATTCAGTTACGTATCGGCAGCATTCAAATTTGAAATCGGCTTACAACTGATTATCCCGCCATAACAATGGACGCCCTGTTGTGACCTCCTCGTTGTATATGTCAAAGACCATCACGGGAGAACTGTTTTGCTGATCTGGCGAGTGAGGGAGATGCCCGAGGAGGAAGTGGGCTTGAAGAGGGGATTCTACTTCACCGATTCTTGTGGAAACTCTCCTCCTCCTCCTCTCAGTCTCTTCTCCCTCTCTCCTCATTGTCTTCTCTGAGTTCAAGACATTGGGAGACTACATGTATGATGGGCAGGGTTTCATGAACGATGTTTGGAGACATTGATGGTACGCTGTGTCAGACTTGTATTTTGACGTTCACGAGCTTCTTATCTGACTAGTTTCATTGCAATTTGGTATCAGTGCGATATCTTCCTTCCTCGCCATCTGCTGATTGAGACATTTTGCTCGAATATGATGATGTTGATCATGATGATGTTGATGTTCTGAGGTGTCGACCGTAGAGGATAAGAGCGGCATTGTCTATTCTCATCGCTGCTTGATAACTCATCGGCTGGCTGGTGTAATTAGTGCCCGTAGGCAAGAGAAGTGCTGACGTGGCACTAGAAAACGGACTGATGGGAGAGTGCTGATGTGGAAAGGGGGAGGAAAGAAGGAACTTACCTGCTAACATGGCCATTCCTTCGGCGCTGATGCTGACAGTGGCCTGATGACGTGGCAGGGTTGATAGCGGTAGTGGACTTCCCTCCTCCAGATGTGTTCCTTGTTGACATGGTGTGCTGTCTACTGAGGTGGCAGCGCATATAAGTGCTGACGTGGCACCTTCCTGAAGAAATGGCGGGGTACATAGGGGGACGTGACATTCTCCATAGTGCTGCTGCATACCTCTAGTTATGTGGCACCTCCCTGAAGTGGCAGAAGATGATACAGGTTGACGTGGCATTTTCCAAGTAGCGTTCCAGTGAGAAGATACTGTTTTGAGCGGTATTCCACTGCTCACGTGCTCCAAGTAGTACTATACCATTATTGTGGTATAGTTGGCCATTGACGCTGATGTGGCATAAGTCTGGCTGACGTGTCACCGAGGCTTTGCTGATGTGGAGCACGTGGTAACACTGACGTGGCAGACTGCCAAGCCGAATGAGAGACTGTTGTGGACAAAACCTTGCACCTGCGTGACCTGGCGGGCGGTACAGCACTAGAGTATGCTGTAGTACCACGCGCCAAGGTGGGTGTCTGGACACACAATATCTACAAGAAGACAGCAAAGGGAGCAGCTAACACTTGTTTGTTTGGACGTGTTGCTGATTGACTTCGTGTACTTACCTGTCGTGGGTTGTCTTGTGAATGGTTGCTGACTCACGATTGTTTGTGTTGTCTTGATCTCAATGGTTGTGGCTGTGGAATCTGCACAGTCCCTAGACTGAAACATCATCAGTCAGGAAACTAGCAGATAATAGATTTAGAAATTTCAAAGAATTCCGACCCTGTGCGAGGGTTATCGTCTCGACATAGGGCGCTGCAGCAGGCGCGTGCCTGCCCTACGTGAAGGTAGACTCCCTGAATTTCAATGCGTCCTGAACTTGACAATTTTTGCAAATCTTGGTCGGCGCCAGACAGTTGCCACGCGCCAGTTCGTTACATCCGCCTTGCTCGTGAGAGTCCAAAATATTCATAAGCCTTCCAGGCCCCTCAGCAACGTGGCCAAAGCAGGGGGCATCCCATGTTTGACCCTGGAGCGGGCACTTGCATGCTGATATGGCAGCGCTGCTAGAGTTTGCGCTCGCGTACTCGCGTACTGCCGCGCTAGTGCATGGCAAGTGTGCGCGCTCGTGCAGTCGTGCGGTAAGCAGGGCGCTGCTGAGGGCAACGCCATAGCCCAGCCCACGTAGTCGGGCTTGGGCTTGGACAGTCAATGGGAGGCCAGACGTGGATGATGAACTCGAGGGTGAGAGAGAGAGAAACGGGGTTGATGATGTGAGGGCACATACCTGGTCTCGGTGATGGTCTACAAGGGTCGACATCTTCATGTACTTCGGTTTTGGTGCTAACGTCAACCGGATGCATTCTCAATTTGTAGGTTGCTAGTAAGTTGTGTGATCGTAGTCTGGTGTTGAGTGCCAAGTAGGAGGAAGGACTTTGGATACATATGTTGGTGGTGGAGAGAGTACGCTCTCATTGACATTCGGATTCAATGCTTTGTCAGTGCATTACTGCTTTCTGGACAACATTTGGACTTGCTGGCTTTCAATGTGATTTTGCACTCTGGAATTTCTATCGTTTCGCTATTGCTCTTTTTCCTTGCACTTTGGTATCGGAGCTGGTTTGAGCCGCTCCGCTCGGTACTTCGCAATAGCTGTTTCGTGCTTCGTTGGGAAATGACAAGGGAGTGATAACGCTTGTGCGTTGGTGTATAGGCGGCCCAGGGTCATGTGGGCGCCCCAGGATGTGGTGACATAGGGATGCAGTCTGGATGATGAGAGTTTGCTGATGTGGTAATTTAAGCCGAGGTGGAATTGCATTGCATGGTGGGTTGTGCCAAGGCATCGACCGGTCAACACAAATGCACGTCAGGTTATTGGTGAGACATTTGTGGTTGGGGGCAACATTATGAGGTATGCTGCTCCTTACCTTATCTATCCTCGTCATTACTTCGTACCCTGAGGAAGTCAGTTATGTCTTGAGAGTCCTCTCATTGTGAGGTGTCGCAAGCGCTCAACCTTGAGAGTCGACATTCTTCCTGGGGAGCATGCTGGTGGGAGACGGGCGTTGCCTCTGAAGAGCCCTGAACAAAGCACTCGGGTCACGGTCACCATGCCAACCTGTTGGGATTAGTACACGCATGCTTTGCGGCTTGTCCTTGGTTCCGCTTGTTGCGTTGTAGAGAGAACATGGACTGACCTGTCCTAAGAGAGATGTCTACCAGACCGTCTATAAATATTTTAGGCGGGATCTGAGTTGAATATTGGTTGTGTCTGCAACGTTAAATAATTCCTGACGACCTTGAGGGTTGTCCTTGAACTACCTCCTGATAAGCCAAATCAACCAGATGGAAGGCTCGTTGCACGCAAGGATAAAGAATGGGCAAAATTGGTCATAAGCGATTTCCTTGGCACGGGGGTGGGCCTATTTCACACCTTCAGACACGTCGCTGAACCAGAGCTTCATGACGTCGACCTCAAGTGACTACTTAAGAAGGATACAGGGGGAGGGAGAATACTAGTAAATAGTTCAATTAGTTATTGTTGAAAATTATCCATTTCGCATACAAACCTAGCAAATGATTTTATTTTTATTTTTTTGGATTAGTTAGTTGTGACAGACACTGCTAACAACTGACAGACAACTGCAGATAAGTAGTACTTATTCCCTGCTACATCGGAATTTGTCTCAGACTAGTCAAAAGTAGGAATAAAGTTGTTTGTAGGAATTCGAGATTATCTGTTGTTACTGCTTGACTACTTTCTGACAAAGTTGGACCAAATATTTATTTTATTTTATTTTAACCGGTTGGTTGTCATGTTGCGGTAGGTCCCAACGAGGACACTAGTGCAGATCGTAGGCCACTCATAGCTCATGAGTGGAGATGACAGTGAGGTTGAGGGACTAGACCAAGACGATAGGAGGCTTAACCGGAAACATGAAAATGATTGGTTAACGCCGAGTGAACCCGAACGCCACTCGTTCCCTGGGGCTTCGACAAAAGCGAAGCATTGCCGTTCACATCCGTTACCCCCGGACGCCACACGCGTCCGGACTAAAGTCTGAAAACTTTTTGTCTCTCAGTCATAGGTCAGGTCTGAATAAATGTTTTGGCAAACATTAGTCTCATCAAGTCCTTCAATTTAACGAAAAAGGTCAGACAACGTCCGACGTTGAAAAACCCCGGCAAATACCCTTGTCAGGGTTTTTGCCCCGACAACATTCCCAGGCCCCATTGAATGACATCCCCGTCATTCTTTTTTTTTTTTTTTTTTTTTTTTTGTCGGAAGGCCCTTGTGCAAGACCTCTATCCTGGTGGTGGTAAGAGAACCACCGGGATTGAGGCTTTGCCTAGCAGGCTAGCGGGCCGCTCCATCTATTGGTGGGGAGCAACACCTGCTGGAAACCGGGTCCAGCGTCCCATAAATACATCTTTGCTACACAGTACATCAATGAGAGTGACGCCAAAGTGCTGGAAACCGGGTCCAACGTCCCATATCCACTCTACCCTTCCATACCTAACCTGCAGCAGGGTCGGGTATTGGGGGGGTGACCACCGAGGGGCACCAGTGGAGTCTCCCTCCATCCCCTAGCCTCTGCCCTCCACCAACTATCCTCATGGCGCCCATTGTACTCTGCAATAGCATGTGTTTTGAAAAAGCTGAAGCAACAGAAAACAGGCTGCAGTGTAATCAGCTGAAATCAGCTGAAATCTTTTTGAGAAATACAGAAGAATACTGAAAAATACTGAAAATTTCTGAGAATTACTGAAAGGATACTACAAAAAAACTTCACTGAGAGGCGGGCCCACAAAGTGCCTATTGTATCAAATTGTTGAACATTG